TAGTGAGGTAACAAAATCTCAGTATTTTTAATGTGAATTTTTTAAAACAACTCAAAAAGAGCTGTGGGTATTTTCCTCAGGACTACTAAAGAATCACTTTTGAGTTGAGATGCCAGGGTTTTAAAATAACTTTTGAAAAATAAGAAAAATCATTTAAGTTTACCAATTAATCTAGAAATAAAGCTTAAAAACCAAAGAACAAAAATGAAAGAACTCAAATGTTAGAAATCTTCTAATTAGGAATTTTAAAACCAAAATTTTGAAGAACAATTATATTTATATCACTACCTAGTTTTCTGCATTACTTTCGCAATTTTTTATTTTGAAAAATTCAAATACTGGGGAGGGAAGGTTCTATGGTGAGCGCTGTGAATTGTGTCAGACAGATGAATCATAGACCTGTACCCCTGAAACAGATAATACATTATATGTTAATCAAAATAAATAAATTAAAAAAATAAATCCTTTTTGCTTAAAGCAAAAAAAATAAATAAACAATAGTCACGTCAACATATGACCTTTTTTAAAAAAAAAAGAGTTGTAAGAATAGCACATTCACCAAAGGGTAACATTTAATCACATTTGCTTTGTCTTCCTCAAATATTTCAGCATGTGACTTCAAAAAACAAGGATACTCTTCCTACTTTACTACATTAAAATTATTACAACCAGGAAATGTAACATTGAAAAATACAATTATTTAATATATAGTCCATATTCAAATTCCTCCAATTATCTGAATAAAATCCTTCATAGGTTTTTTGATCCAGAGTACATTAAGAATAACACATTGTATTTATTTTAGTCTATTAATAAAGTAAAGCTTTGTTGACTATTCATTTATATGTAAGCTAAATTTATCACACCTAATTGAAGTAGGAGAGACACCATCTTGACAGCATCTTAGCCAAATCTCAAAACAGAGTGAAGCTCAAATGGTTCTAAATTGGAAGAATGCACTTCAATATGGATTAATGTAATTTTTTTCTCATGATTTGATTGAAGCTAAACATTTTTTCCAGGCATACCACAAAGGTGATTTTTTTGTCCTCTGTACAGAATATGATGTTATTTGTTCCATTATTGGTGACATGTGGCTTGATCATTTGAATAAGATGTTATTTCTCAGTTTTATTCATTGCACAAGTTCTTTTTAATAAGTAATCTGTAGGGAGAAACTTTATGTGGCTATGACCATCATGACCTGCATATATTCACCAGTATTATCAGCACCCATTATTTCTTTATTATTTTGATAGGTAAAAAATAATACATTTTAAATTCTGTAATTTTTTTAACATTTGTTAATTGATTTGTCCATAAGGAAGAGCTTTTCCTTTTCCTTACTTTGTAATTATCATTATTTAACAACAATATAGACTTTCATTTCCTTTCTTACTCCTTTTTTTTTTTTTAAAGATCTTATTTATTTATTTGAGAGATAGAGAGAGCTAGTGAGAGAGAGCAAGAGCAGGGAGGATAGGGAGAAAACAGGCTCCCCAAGGGCAGGGAGCCCAATGGGGGGCTCGATCCCAGGACCCCAGGATCATGACCTGAGCCTAATGCAGACACTTAACTGACTGAGCCACCCAGGTGCCCCTTCTTTCTTATTTCAATGAATTATATTCTTATTTATATTTATACCCAAACAGTCCTACATTTGGCTAGTGGGAGCCCATTCAGGCTGGCTTCAGGATCTTTTTGACATGTTCCCATCATTTTTTAAAGGAATTCCTTACTTTCTGTAACAAGGAGACCTTCTAGCCTTACCTTATAATTTCCCTGCCTTAGCCCTGGAATCAGCATTTCTCCAAGCAACCAGAGATTTTACTCCTATCCATTTCCATGCCGTTGTCACCCAGCCTTATGGGTAGTCAATTTCACTGGCTTTAAGTTTTTCATTTCCTGTATTTTTCAAAATTAAGGCATTACTTATTAAATATTTCTACTCTTCTTTCTTATCCAAAAAAGCAGTACATTATGGATACTTTGTTGAACTTAATTTTTTTTTTCATGAAAAGAGTCTATCCTGGAAATTACTACATATGAGTTCATAGAAACTTCCTTTATATTTTTGTTTAAAGTTGCATAATACTTTATTTTGTGGTGAACAGTCATTTATAGAGTCAATCCTCTATTTGTCAGTTATATTTTTAAATTGTATTTTTGTAAATGTTTTTTAAGGGTAAATTCCTAAAGTGGGATCTTTACAAAAAAGGGTAAACACTAGGAAGTTTTGTTGGATACTGCCAAAGTTTTCCCACAGAGCTGTATCTATTTTGTATTCATACCAGCAATACATGAAAGTACTTGTCTCCCACGACCTTCAAACAGTGTTTTCAAACTTTTGTGTTTTTGTCTATCTGTTAAATAATATACGGACTCTTAGTATAGATGAGATTAACATGCATTTTTAAAAAAATCATGAAAGATTAAATATTTTTGTATGTTTAAAGGTCACTTGTATGTCTCTTGTGTCTCCTTTTGTAAGCTATTTATATTTTTTGCTCTTATTTTTATTATTTTCCCCTGTAATTTAAAATGTTCTTTAAATATTTGGAGTGATCACCTTTTAGCTGTGATATATATGGCAAATATTTTCCCTTCTATGATAGGTTTCAATGTTTTTTGGGGGGAGGGTGGAGGAGCAAGCATGCAGAATTTTTTTCAATATTTCCTTTTCTTGTATTGGAATTTTGAGTTATAGTTAGACTTTTTTTTTTAACCTAGCTTATAAGGAATACACTTGTGTTTTTTTTCTCTAGTAATTGTATGGATTTATCTTCTATATTTAGATCACTGATCCATTTGGAGTTTATTTTTTACTCTTTTTCTTTTCTGATTCTTATGGGTCTTAATTTTTTCTTCTAAACTAATTTCATGGGCAATACTTACAATATTTTCTGAAGTAAGAGCGGAGATAGAAACTATTCTTGTCTTGTTCCTGAATTTGATGGGCGTGCTTCTATTTCTTCCACATTAAGATGCTGGCTTTAGGGCACCTGGGTGGCTCAGTTGGTTAAGCGACTGCCTTCGGCTCAGGTCATGATCCTGGAGTCCCGGGATCAAGTCCCGCATTGGGCTCCCTGCTCAGCATGGAATCTGCTTCTCCCTCTGACCCTCTTCCCTCTCGAGCTCTCTATCTCTCATTCTCTCTCTCTCTCAAATAAATAAATAAAATCTTAAAAAAAAAAGATGCTGGCTTTAGGGCTGAATATATAGTATATGTATCTGTGTATATTTCTATATTATTGAGTAAATTTTAATCAGGAATGGGTGTTGGATTTTATCACAGGCTTTTCTCTATAGAGATAGTTATATATTTTTTCTTTTCATAGCTATCAATATAGTATCAAATTAATTTCAATCTTTGCATTTATTAAACTTTAATTAGTCATGATATATTATTTTCTTAATGTAGTATTAGATTTTATTTGCTAATATTCATTTAGAATTTTTTGGATTGATATTAGTAAGTAAAATTAGTCTGTGCTAATGTTTTCAGTTTAGGAATCAATGTTATTTTTGCTTCCTAAAAATATTTTTAAATGTTTCTTAATTTTCTATGCTCTGTAATAATTTGTGCAGCATTAGAATTATCTAGTTACTTAAGTGTTGATAGAATTTCCTGTGGAATCATTTGGACCTGGTACCTTTCTCTGAGAGCAGTACTTTAATAACTCTCTCAATTTTTCTGTGTCTCTGCCTCTCTTTCTCCTCTGTCTCCCTCTCTCTCTGTCTCTCTTTTTTTCTCCCAGCCTGGTTTTATGGAAATTATCTGTTTAAACTTTCTATTATTATCAAGTTGATAATAATAGAAATTTATAATTTATATCAAGTGTGATAAATTATATTTTGCTGAGATGTTATCTATTTCTTCAAAGTTTGGGCATTTATTTGCATAGGGTTGTGCAAAGTATTCTCATAACATTATTAAATCCTTCTGTTTCAATGGCTATTTTATCTTTGTTCTTAGCCTTTGTTCTTTATTGTTCTGATTTGTTTTAATCTTAGAGATTAAATTAGAGACACAATTAAATATATTTAGTGCTCAAAATCAGCCCTTTTGCTAAAGTTTCTCCAATTATCTCTCCCTCTCTCTTTTTTTTTTGCAGCAAAAGAGCCTACTATTTCATTGTGTTTTTCATTATGTTATTATTCCAATAGTATAATGGGGGTTACATGTTTCAAGGAATAAAACTGCTTTATAATAATAGGGGATTTTTTTCCATTACCTTTTAAGTAGGTCCTGTTACAATCTTTTCTCATCACAGTCTCTTCCCAAAACAATGAATGAGAATAAAAAAATTCAGAGAATGATAATTATAATCAAAAATAAATATCCTTAACAGTATCTTATGCATTATTTCAAAGATCTTACATTTTTATTTTTCCCTATGCAATGATTTCTTAAAAGAAAACAATTTACATTTTTACATGGTGTTTTAATTCAGTCCTTTTTTTAATCTCTAATTTTATTTTTTAAAGTTTTTATTTAAATTCCAGTTAGTTAACACAGTGTAATATTAGTTTCAGGTGTACAATATGGTGATTCAACACTTCCACACATCCCCCAGTGCTCATCACAACAAGTGCTCTCCTTAATCCCCATCACCTATTTCACCCATCCCCCACCAAACACCCTCCCCTCTGGTAACATATCAGTTTGTTCTCTATAACTAAGAGTCTATTTCTTGGTTTGCCTCCCTCTCTCTTTTTCTTTTTCCCCTTTGCTGATTTTTGTTTCTTAAATTCCCCAAAGAGTGAAATCATATGTATTTATTTTCCTCTGACTGACTTATTTTGCTCCAATTATCTCTTGACTGGACTGAACTGGTAAAGGAATGTGTAAGAATGCTCATAGAATATTCCTGGAGTTCTTACATGATTATACAGTTTTCTATAGACTTGACACTTGAAAAACTCTTCTGCTGGATTTAAAGTCCTTAGTGCACACTTTTTTTCCTTGAGTTATGAAACCTAAACCATCCTACCTTTGTCTTGGTTTAGATGTCCTGGTCTAAGATGCTCATGCCATCAGATTTTCTTTCACTGATACCAGACACTTTTTTTGCCTCAATTTTCTGAGGATAATTTTCTTTATCTTTAAAGAAAGAATTGGAATTAAATATTAAAGGGCAGATTTTTTTAGGTATATGGTAATGAATTCAATTTTTGAATTATGGCTTAAAACATTTTCAATTACTTCATTTTATTCTTTAACATCTCCAGTTATGTATATCTTTTATCTTTTTTGCATCTCTTTCTATTTGATCAATTTCTCTCTGAACACGTTTCTTTCATTATTTTGATCCTTTTTTTAGTTATTATCACACCTTTCCTGAATGTTCCTTATTAACTTCGAAGTTTAAGGTTTCCTCTTTTGGAGGCTATGTCATTTAGTTTATTTTTTCAAGATGATTTTGTCTTTTTCTTTAATTTACTGCCTGAGCTTGATCAACTCTCATTTCACATGCTGACATGTTAATATTTATCTTAATATGAAAAAAATATTTTCATAGTGACTTAACCTAAACATCCATTTCTCTTCTGAATTTTGGAATTTATAATTCAAGGGTTTTTTTTATACAAGTGTTTATTTAAGTTTGTTTAATTCACTTTGGAGTGTTGTGTTGAAGTTTTACTTCAATTAATTAGTCAATTAATTAAGTTGCTTATGAGTCTTTTTTAGAATTTTTATCACTTGAGATGTTTTGATTCTCCTTGTTTGTTTTCTTTTTTATTAGTTCTGTATGGAAGTAAATCTACAATTTTCTGATGATTCAATGTTTTAAAAAAATTACTCTGGATTGGCAATGAGACTTTCAGATAACTAATTAGATTACTCAATTCAACTATTCTCTTTTCTATTAATATACTGAAGCACAGTTTTAACAGATAGTGCTAATTTCAAGGAAAGAGGTTTCGATTTGTCTTTGATTCTATCAAGCTTTTTTTTTCTTTCTTTAGAAAAACAAATTTTCTTTTTCTTATACATTCTTGCCCTTCACAATGAAGTCTCCAGTATGTGCCTCCCCTTTCCCTATTCACTTTACTCTCCTAGAAGTGGTGACATAAAATTAATGAAACAAAATATTGTAGAAGAAAAGAAACAAGTGAACACTACTAAAAATACTACTTGGGTAAAATTGACAGAATGATGAGGCTCAAATAACAGATGACACAACTTACACTGGCTTAAATATAGTTGGATTTACTGTCTCTCATTACAAAAGGCCAAGCTGGGTTACTCCCATGACTTATTGTTCTCAAAGGCATAGGTTATTTTAAAATTTTTTATTTATTTGAGAGAGAGAGAGAGAGACAGAGCGAGCATAAGCAGGGGGAGGGGCAGAGGCAGAGGGAGAAGCCGACTCCCGCTAAGCAGGGAGCCCAATGCGGGGCTCCATTCTAGGATCCTGGGATTATGACCTGAGCCAAAGGCAGAGGCTTAACCGACTGAACCACCCAGGCGCCCCTCAAAGGCAAAGGTTATTTTAAACTTCACATTCTCACATTGAATTTTGTTTTCAGCTTTGGCCCTTTATAGTCTTAAACACACTTGGAGAAAAGTGTTTCTATGTAAGAAATGCTCAAGGCCGAAGAATGTCCTTTTCTTGGGTCCCCTTTTAAGAGTGAGGCAAACTTTCCCAGAACTTTTACTTTTCCCTCCCTGCCTCAAACCTACTGTTTTTCCTTCATGTCTTTGTCCAGATTTCATAAAATCATATGTAATTTTACCAATGTTCATTTTTAGATAAATCAATATTTTCTTGTCCTGAAGCATCAGGTATTTAAACTCTGTGTTCTTTTGAAAGGAAGAAAGGGTATGAGATGATTGCTGACTAACTCACCAACTGTTTCTGACATGGTTAATAAGCACAATAAATTCTAAAACTAAAACTAAAACTTAAGTGCATTTAATTGCAGATAAAATAATAAATAGAACAATCTAAGAATCTGAAGGATAATAACCTTGAAAAATCTTAGAATAATATAAGAATTATAGAATAATAGAGTAATCTTTGGTAAGTATCTGAAAGATAGTGTTGTTTTTTAAAAAAGATTTTACTTATTTTTTGAAAGAAAGAGAGAGTGTGTGTGCAAGAGAACACGAGTGGGGGAGAGAGTCAGAGAGAGAGGGAGAAGCAGACTCATGACTGAGCAGGGAGCCTGACTAGGGGCTTAATTCCAGGACGCTGGGATCATGACTTGAGCCTAAGGCAGTGAGCCACCCAGGTGCCACTGAATGATAATATTCCTAGAACATTCAGTAGAGTTCTTAATGATTTTTCTCTCTAGATTAGAATAACTACAGAAAGTCTTTGAGAAGAAATTCACAGCATAGAAAACTTAGTCCTTTACTTATTTCTAAAAACTCAACTCCCCAAATTTGGAAGCTTACACCTGTGGACAGTTGATATCAATCATCTGTTAATGGTGATCCTTCTGTCTACAAACTTACAAAGCTTATGCCAAATTTTCCCCTTACAAAACATAGTGTTCAAGAAAATATTAAAAATCATTTAATTGTAAACTTATTTATTGGGAGTCACATATGAAGAGACAAGGGAATTGAGCATTATTTTCTCCCAAGTTCTTGACCTTTTTTGGGGAGGCTGGCCTTTAGAAATTGTGCCTCCATAGCCTTGATGACTGGGCCATGGCCCAAGAGACCATAACTGCATTGTAATAGATAGTCGGACAAGGCTTTCTCCCTCCTGACTTGAGATCCCAAAACCCTAGTTGGCTATTCAACCAATGATTTGTGTTAGGATGAAGTGGTGTGAACCATATTTGGTCAGGTGGATGGAAAAAAAGAGAAAGGCAGTCTGCTGAGAAAGATAAAAATGAAGTAGACATGTACAGAGAAGAAAAGATGAAAGTGTGTAGTCTAAATGAGAGAGAGAGGACAATGAAGAGAGAGAGAGAAAGAGAGAGAGAAAGAGAAGGGGGTGGGCGAGAGGAAGAGGTAGAGAGAGAATCCCAAGCATGCTCCACGCTCAGCATAGAGCCAGTTGCAGGGCTCCATCTCAAGACCCTGAGCTCACGACCTGAGCCTAAATCAAGAGGCTGATGCTTAATTGACTGAGCCACCCAGGTGCCCCTCTCAATTTTATTTTGACTTAAGTTAGTTTTGGCAGATTTCTGCTAATAGCAACCCAATAATCCTGACTTATTCAATCTATTGTTCTATGAGAACAATATTCTCGTGCTAATGTTTCTATGGTATGTGTGAGAATCAATTTTAGAGTTAAAATGATCCTAAGATATCATAATTTCATAGATTTAGAACCCTAGAGAGGTTAAAATATTACATAGATGGTTGAGGATCCTGACAGCCTCAGACTCCTGATTTTACAAATACCAGCATTTATAGAAAATTAAAACAAAGATTTGGGAATAAACAAACCACTTTTTGCTTTTCTTCTAATACCAGCTCATTTTCCAGTGATACTCTTCTAACAAACTATTACTTCAAATTAAAAAAAAATTAATTTTGAAAGAAACCCAACCTAATGAAAATAGAGATTCCATTCCCTGCACCCAGATATACCAGACATTTTGACATATTTACTTCATGTATCTTTTTTAAAGACATAAGATAGTCAAAATCTAGTCAAAACAGTTTTAAAAGATAATTTTAGAGCAAGTAGTCTAGTATGTATACTTTTATAAACTCAGACCCTCTACTAACTCAGATATAATTATATAGTCTAATTGTTTTCTGAGTTTCCTAAATAGAAATGTTTAAAGTACATTACCAACATGGGATTCATTTTACTTTCTTTTAATTGAAAATAATTTCATATTCATCCCAAAATTAAAAAAAAATTATGCTACTGAACGCACTTAGATGTACTTTACTAGCAACAGATTGAGGTATATCTTTACATATTTATATTTGTATATTTTTTATAGTTTTGGAAAATAGTCTTTAGTTTTAGCTTCCTCACCTTTTCTCATCTTTAGCCTTTGCTTGAAGCTAGGTATCATTCAAAACCAGTAGCAATCAGTATTCTTTTCATTCTTGTTAAAACATAGCATTGATCTGTAATACATGGGGATTAAGAATATCAAGGGAGAACACTTAAAATACAGTGGCAATGAATTTATATAGTATTTATGTGACTATCAATATTCTTTCAAGGGATTTACATTGTAATTGAAGATTAGTTGAGCATAAGTTAATAAACTCTTAAAGTATTAGCCAAATCTTCTTACGTAAGACTCTAAGACATTCTTTCCAATTTTAAAAAAAATAGTAGTAATCAAATATGATGCCCCTAGAGATATGCTACAGGGAATCCATACTATTCTTTCCTCAAATAATAAAGTAGTACAATATTTTCTAATTTTCTTCCTTATTCACCCTAGTGTATATATTTGTCAGAATATAAAAATTATAAACTTTTATCTACCATTTGATTGTTTTCTTCCTATTTGCCTTATTTTATTTGTTTGCTTTTATTTATTAGCCACTTTTAATTTTGATATAATTGGGAATAATTTCAAACACAGAGTTGCAACAGTAGCACAAAAACTCCTATACATTACAGTATAATTATAAAAAGCACAAATCTTAACATTGACACAATACCACTATCTAATCCACAGTCCATATTTAAATTTCTTCCATTGTCCTAACAATGTTCTTAATAGCTATTTTTTCCCCCTCCATCAGGATAACTCCTTATATTTAGTTGTCATATTTCTTTAGTTTTATTTAATGTGGAGTTCTTCCTCAGAATATCTTTGTGCTTTATAACCTTGACATTTTTGGAGAGAATTGGCTAATTATTTTGTAAAATGTTGCCAGTTTGGGTTTACTAAAGCTTTCAGATTATTAGAAATTCCTGTGTTTAATTATATTGCAATGTACTTTCGAAAGTTGAATTATTTTTTCTTGAGAGCTAAGCTGATCTAGCTTAGTCATTCATGAAGGACATTTGCTGTATAGGTTAAGATATTCAGGCTTTGGAGTCAGACAGATTTAGATTTACTTTCTACCTTTTCTGACAATTAGTTTTACTCATCTTCTCCAAGCTTCAATTTCCTAATCTGTAAAATAGGGAAAATGATGAATTCTCAAAGGGGTTGCTGGAAGGATTAAATGAGATAACATATGCAAAGCATTTGGTAAAATGCCTGGCATGTAAACAAAGCTCCATAAAGGATTGGGCACATTATTATGTTTGCCAATGGAAAGTAACATGAAAAAACTGACAAGCTAGTTTAGTGGCATTAAATAAATGATAGCACTGATATTTTGGAGAGGAGGAAAGTGAGTGAAATTACGTTTTTCATCTGAAGGCCTTTGAAGCATTTACGTTTTCAAGTTCCAGTGTTAGGTCTTTTTTAATGTCTCATTTTTCAGTGTATAGGACTTTATATTTAATTTTCCAAAAGCAAAATATCTCAGTTTATGTTTTAATAATTTCCTTTTGAAGTAAAAATCATAGCTAAGGGAATTTCTTTCTGATAGTGTAGAATTTAAAACAAGGATTTCCTGTTTTATTTTATTTATTTGAAACTAATTGTATATTTGCTTATATGCTATATATTACTTATATGCTTATTTACTTACATAATAGTATTTTCTCAAGGTAGATCAAGAAAGCCCATTTAGCCATTAAGGTAGCTGAATAGCCAATAAGAGTAACAGCTTTGATTTGGGCTGTGGGAATAGGGATTTTTTCAAAGCAGGAGACAGGAGAAAGAGAAGAAAATACACATTTTTAGCTTATTGCTTGATGCAGGATTGATGTCATGAATTATCTTGACCTAAGCTGTGTCTGTATTTGGCAAGCTTCCATGAGCCCTTCTGGCCATAAATTCTACTTCCTGGTGATCCTCTGTCCCAGTGGGTTAAGCTTGTAACATATGACAAATTTGTTACAGCCTTTTCTGCCCTGCCTGTTCATATACAACTCTCCTTTCCTCTTGGGTAAAGAACTCAGGTATTTTTCAGAAAATTACTCCATCAGTAAGGAATTTGGGATTCTTTATATTTATTTAAATTTTTCATATTTACATTTAAAGATAATATATGTGATAATTAAAATAAATTCCTAATTGGCTATTTTCCAGGCTTTGTGTTTAATAGATAGTTTTTGACAAGTTGGGGCCAACTTGTATCCTGAAGTCATGTTCTGTGGAGTCTATAGTCTAATCTGATACTGCTCTTGATATCTTAACTTCCTCTAGTTTTGAAGATGTAAGCATTATTAGTGTATTTAGCCACAGCACTCCTGTCTAGGCCAGAGGCATGAATCAACTCATCACAGGATGGGCTGCCTGCCTGCTGAAAGTATTGGAGAGCTTTCTGGGAGTTTTAGACAGGCATATGGCTCTCACACTGGGATATATCAGGCTAGAATATGCCCGTGCAACTTTGCCCTGGGTAATTTCAAAAGAACAGAATTTTTATTTTTTTTTTAAGTAAGGAGGCTCAAATTCAACATATTTAAGTTTGATCTCAGTCAATAGGAATGAAGAAAAAAATACAAAAAACAAATAAATTAAGAAGAAAAATATTTAAGACCTCTAAAATGCACTCACATAGGGTGATTTGCATGCTTTTTTCCTTTATAAGCTTCTGGTCATTTAATTTTTTCTTAAGTTACATTTTTACTTTTCATAGAGTGTTATTAATTTCTCATAGCTATTTGCAACAGTTAGAAAGTCCACTTTTAGAAAACTAATTTAAATGACTTAAAATTTTGATGCCATCTCCTTCTAGAATTTATACATCATTTTTGTATAGGACACTATTACAATTTTCTAATACCAGTGTACATTATTTCTTACATCTTAGTAGCCGTTTTTTCTTTGAAATTGAGATTTGACATTCAGATACACTGATATTTAAGTGGCCAGGACATTTGAAAGAAATTGGAGGTTATCACAGAAGTGCTCTTCTGTTGGTGATGAATTCATGTATCAGAGACTTTCTTTTGCATTTATTTAAAAGTTAGAAACATGGTATTGCTATTTAAATAATTTTCCCACATAATAATTCCTTAAAAAGTTGTAATTGCTTTAAGTTTTACTACTGATTGTAGTCATTTGTGTGATTGTATCTATGATTGATGCATTTTAATGTTGCAATTGTCTGGCAATTTTCATTGATTATATCCATGACTGGTATTCTTTATGGTACAATTGTGTAGTAATAGTCTGATTATGTTGCTGTTAAGATTTTTACATAACTTTCTCTCAGGACACATTTGAAGAATAGAGATTTTATTTCCAAGAGTATAAGCTCTTGGTAAAACAAATCACTTCATTTGGCTTGGTGAATTTTCATTGAGTCAACAGGCTGAATGATATTCAAAAGAAAACCACCATGTTCTCTTTTTATATTATACTACTGAGAATTTTTTTTAACTAACATCTTTTTTTTTAATTTGAGACAGAGAGAATGAGAGAGAGAGAGAGAGAGCACATGAGAGGGGGGAGGGTCAGAGGGAGAAGCAGACTCCCTGCCGAGCAGGGAGCCCGATGTGGGACTCGATCCAGGGACTCCAGGATCATGACCTGAGCAAAAGGCAGTCACTTAACCAACTGAGCCACCCAGGCGGCCCTAACATCTTCTTTTTTAAAATTTAAATTCAATTAACCAACTTAAAGTACATCATTAGTTTCAGAGGTAGTGTTCAATAATTTATCTGTTTTGGATAACACCCGGTGTTCATCACATCATGTGCCCTCCTTAATTTAAAAATTTATATTACTAAAATTTTTCTTTTTCTTTTTTAGGATTTTATTTATTTATCTGACAGAGAGAGAACGAGCAAGCACGGGCAGGGGGAGTAGCAGAGGAGAGGGAGAAGCAGGCTCCCTGCTGAGCAGGGAGCATGACATGGGACACGATCCCAGGATCCTGGGATCATGACCTGAGCCGAAGGCAGACGCTTAACCAACCGAGCCACCCAGGGCCCCTAAATTCGTTTTTAGAAAATATTTATTTATTTGAGAGAGAGAGAAAGAGAGAGAGAGAGATGAGCCTAAGCAGGAGGTGTAGAGGGAGAGGAAGAGAGGATCTCAAACATACTTGGTGCTGAGCACGGAGCCTGATGAGGGGCTCAATCTAAGAACCCTGAGATCACGACCTGAGCCAAAACCAAGAATCAGACGCTTAACCAACTGCACCACCCAGAAATCAGAAAAAGATCTAATAACAAAGACTGAAAAGAAGTGGCCAGAATGTTTAGGAAAATCTAGCAAAGAGCAGTATAGGAAGGCCAAAAGAATTAAGTACTTAGAAGTGTCTGCTGCATCTGGCACAAGGGACAATAATCTGGACCTCACTGAAAGCAGATTCAGTGGAGTTGTGGAGATATAAGCCAGGTGAAAAGGTAACTAGGAATCAAGAGGAGATAAAGTCATACAATATAAGGAGAATATTTGGGGGGGGGAACAATTGTGAAGGGAAGGAGAAAGATAGGATAATAGACATACAAAAAATTTGGGATTTGTTTGTTTTAACACAGCAGAGAGAATTTGAAGGTAAAAAAAGAAAAGAAAGAGGTAAGGTACTGAAGAAAAGGTCTCTGAAGGGGCTCAGAGTTTTATTATAATTCAAGGTAAACTTTGAACAGATAACTTGGCACTTCTTTCAGTGAGAGCCAAAAGAATGAGGTAGGGAGATATATGAAGATAAATTCATTTCTGGGTAATGGTAGGACATTGGAATTTCTCTGCCACTTGGATTCTGTATTTGCTGTAATTTAAGAAGATATCTTTTCTCTACTAAGGAAGGATATGGAGGTGTGCATGAGCATGGGGATGGAATGGAGAAAGAGAGGAAAATGTTAAAGAGTTGGAGACCATGCTATGTAGAAGGGCTGACAGAATTTACAAATGAGAACAAATAGAGGGATTGTTGACTGAACATGAACAGAGGAGACTTGTCTTGGCACAGAGATATGATTCTTCCCAGCAGTGCTTAATGGCATGCATATAAAAGCAAGAAAGCAAATGCATGGAGTGATTTTCCCATGGTGATACACAGATCCAGTGTAACAGAAGGACAAGATAACAAAGCGGTTGTAGGTTGTGGGTAGAGAGTACTTGAAAGTGATGGACCACAGAGTCTGGTTCAGACTGGGATAAAAATACAGTCACTAGGAGGCTGATGACCCAGAATAGATGAAATGGCCAATGTTCTGGGGTCTTGATGAAATTTAATAATTGGTATAGTGAGAATATGAAAGTAAAAGTGCATAAAGGATAAATGTTTTTAAATAAAACAGGATTTTATACTCAAAGGTTTTGAAAGTACTGTTATTTGGAGGGCGCCTGGGTGGCTCAGTTGGTTAAGCGACTGCCTTCAGCTAAGGTCAGGATCCTGGAGTCCCAGGATCGAGTCCCACATCGGGCTCCCTGCTCAGCAGGGAGTCTGCTTCTCCCTCTGACCCTCCCCCCTCTCATGCTCTCTCTCTCTCAAATAAATAAATAAATAAATAAAATAATATTTGGGGCACCTGGGTGGCTCAGTCATTAAGCATCTGCCTTCGGCTCAGGTCATGATCCCAGGGTTCTGGGATCGAGCCCCACATCGGGCTGCCTGCTCAGCAGGAAGCCTGCTTCTCCTTCTCCCACTCCCCCTGCTTGTGTTCCCTCTCTCGCTCTCTCTCTCTCTGTCAAATAAATAAATAAAAGCTTTTAAAAAAAAGAAAGTACAGTTATTTGGCAGAATAACAAGAGAATTGATTTTAAGATCAGCAGCATTATAATTATTTTATTGTTCTGAAAATTAACAAAAAATTTCTGAGATATAACTGATTAATTCATTTTGACTAGTGGTTCTCAACAGTGTCTCTCTGTTGAGGGAGACATTTCTTTGACCGACACATCTCCAGTAATGGCATGATGAATTAATAGAAAATCACTAATTTCCATCATCAAGGGAGTTTTAGAACTGTGCTATCCAGGACGGTAGCTCCTAACCACGTGAAGCTGTTCAGCATTTAAAATGTGAGTAATGGGGCTCCTGGGTGACTCAGTCCGTTGAACGTCTGCCGTCAGCTCAGGTCATGATCCCAGGGTCCTGGGATTGAGCCCCCTCATTGGGCTCCCTGCTCAGTGGGAAGCCTGCTTCTCCCTCTCCCTCTGCTGCTCCCCCTGCTTGTGCGCGCCCTCTCTCTGTCAAATAAATAAAATCTTTTTAAAAAATGTGGGTACTGCACTGGAGGAACTGAACTTTAAATTTTATTTAATTCTGACTTCAATTGAAAAACTGAAGCACACTAAAACATTCTTCCTTTAATACTTCTTTGCTTTGTTTCAGAGGTATAGGTCTGTGATTTATCAGTTTTACACATTTTATGTTAAAAAAAAAGATAGTAGGAAGGGAAAAATTAAGGGGGGGAAATCAGAGGGGGAGATGAACCATGAGAGACTATGGACTCCGAGAAACAAACTGAGGGTTCTAGAGGGGAGGAGGTGGGGGATGGGTTAGCCCGGTGATGGGTATTAAAGAGGGCAGGTACTGCATGGAGCACTGGGTGTTATAGGCAAACAGTGAATCATGGAACACTACATCAAAAACTAATGATGTAATGAATGGTGACTAACAACAATAAAATAAAATTAAAAAAATCTTCTTTGCTTTAATGGGACTACATTTCACTTTCATTGCATCGACATTATTGTTTTGTGGAGAACACGACAGATACATCATTAATAATATCTCAATAATTTTATATTGTGTAAGTGATACTATTTTGGATATATTGGGTTAAATAAGATATATTATCATTATTTTTTAAAGATTTTATTTATTTTGAGAGAGAGCGAACATGAGAGGGGCATAGGTAGAGGGAGAAGCAGACTCCTGGCTGACCAGGGAGCCGGATGTGGGGTTGGATCCTCCGACCCTGGGATCATGACCCTGAGCAGAAAACAGACGCTTAATCGACTGAGCCACCCAGGTGCCCCTAAATAAAAATGTATTATTACAACAAATTTCACTTGTTTCTTTTCTACTCTTTAAAATATGGCTACTAAGGACTCGAAAATTAATGTGTCTTGTGTGATATTTCTATTGGATAGAGCTATACTATTTTTGAGTTGCATTCATCATAGCTGACTTTTGGAATATAAAAATTCTTGGTTAAGATTAAAAGTATATATAGAGAGAATACGTTCATATACGTTCCTCCTTTATGTATAGGAAAACTAACATTTTTAAAACACAAACCCGACAAGATGGCAGAAGCAAAGCCGAAGATGTGAACCGGCTGCAAGCTCACCTCACGCGGGTCGACCTCCGTGGGTTGCTGGACCGGCCCAAGAGCAGCGGCTGCATCTGTACCGCCCCCAGGCGGCGGCGACTGAACCACGCCAGGCGGCGGACGCGCTCCCCACCAGAGCGCCTGCGCAAAGCCAAGAAGGCGGCGCAACCTAGGGAGATGCGCCACGTGGTGAAGAGGCGGCTGAGGGACGTGATCTTTGCGCTCGAGTTGGTGGATAGCGTGGTGGGCGTCTACAGCCGACTTTCAGCCGGGAGGAAATCAAGTCTGAGATGTTCGGCAGCCTCCTGGGTGAGTTCTCCATCACCTTCAAATTCCTGAAGCAAGCCGCATCCGGCCTCCCCCTCCCGCGTCATCCTCCTCCAGCAGAGGAAAGGTGCAGACTTTTTTTTAAAACATATTTTGTTTAATGAAGCTGGTACAGAAGGTGCCCGTTTAAAACTGATATCCTACACCAAAAAGTGAAAATAAAATAAACAGGTGCAGTACTCTGTTGTGTACACTTCTGCGTGAATAACTTTATGAATCGCTAATGAAAATTAAGACTTCTCTGGGGTCTTCCGGACAGGATTTTTCTTTAATCTTAAAATGCTTTCTCTTCAGTGAAGAGACTTAGGACGAAGTCATTACTCTCACTGTATGTGTTATCTCGACCCCAACTTGATATTCCTCTTCTTTTGGTCCAGCCCCTCAAATTTTTAAAATTTGAGAATAATTGGCCACCCTGAGGATTTTTCTTGTCACATGTTACTAATGTATTTAGGAGACAGTCTTAATTGTATAAAATTATTATCTATTACTAGGAAAATGAGAATTAAGGCATAACGGGAGGCCAAGTTTCCAAAGAGTGGGGAAACCAATTGAGTTGGGCCTCAACATTCTGCAGGTTGCTTTCTCTTTTACCTGGTATGCACTAGGGGACAGTTGCTTATTCTTGGTGAGAGAGGAGAGAGACAAAGTTGGCACAGAAGTTCCTAAAAGGTATAGAAGTTAGCAGAACTTTAAATAACTTCTCAGATCTGAAAGAGACAAAAATTAAAGTTTGGTTCTGCTAGAGCACCTGGATTTGAGGAACATGAAGATCCCAGACAGAAGGGTGGCACAGAGAAATGAATCAAATATTCCAGTTTTTCCGTCGGGATGTTAGCTGTTTCTAAGCTGCTCAGTACAGGTGGCTAAAATGGAGACTCCCGTCTCCCTACTCTAATAAGATTGCTATACTTGCTTAGGTCATTCTCTCTGCTCTGAGTTTGGTAAATGTCCGCCTATGAAAAATGGGAGATTTTAGTGTTTTCTTCCTTTTTTTCTTAAGGATCACAGCCATGCATTGTGTGTTTTCCCAACATTTGAAAAGAGTTGTTCTGTGCTTTTCCAGTGCTTTTAGAAGGCAAGTCCAGTAGCAAGGCAAGTTCTATCATGGTTGGAAGTAGAAATTTTTTTTAAGTTTTCATATTTAAAAAGTTTCCCCTTGCATGCTAGTAATAGAGCATCTATAACATGATTTTCGTGATTTCTTTAGATTATTTTATTTAGAATTATCATAAAATTTGGATTACATACAGCTTTTGAAATTTGTTCAGAAATTATCATAATTTGGATTACGTATAGTTTTTGAAATTTGAGTTCCCAAACTGAGGTGATTTGTAATTCAACATAATATGGTTATATGAATTCAGATTAAGCATCAAAGGCAGCTTATCAATGAATATAAACCAATGTTGTGAAAGAAACATTTAAAAAAATCTTTTTTCCTAGCATTTGGATCAGTTGTCCTCTTTTTATGCCATATTTTAATTTAAATATTTATTATTTAGTGATTTACTTTATTGCTATATTTTAATATAAGCATGTACATACACATTTTTATATGTGCTTAACCCAAAACACAAAGCACATGGATTACTATGTGGTGTTTGTACCACTATTTTATTCTATTTTTTTTTTAAGATTTTATTTATTTATTTGACACAGAGAGAGAGATAGCAAGAGAGAGAACACAAGCAGGGGGAGTGGGAGAGGGAGAAGCAGGCTTCCTGCTGAGCAGGGAGCTTGATCCCAGGACCCTGGGATCATGACCTGAGCTGAAGGCAGACTCTTAACCGACTGAGCCACCCAGGCGTCCCTGTACCACTAGTTTAACACTTAGCAAAAAGGTACCTAAAGAACAGGAATAATGTGTGTCAGGGATGGGAATCCAGATTTAGAATTACTGAAACTGTAAATTTAAAGTTTTTCATCCTTTTAAATAAAAGTGGAGGAATTTGCCAAGTGTAGGAGAGTATAATGGAAATGGGGGAAACAAAAAGTGGCAGATGCATTGTTTCTACAACGAAGCTCCTACCTCAGAGCTCTTCCATACATTTGTTATCTTGTTTGCTCCACACCAGTTCTTAGAAGAACACATGTTGCTGATGAATAAAAGGCTCCAGAAAGACACTAGGGATTATCCCAAGTTATGTCAATTATATTGTTCGCAACTGAACTAAAAAATACATCTGAAAATGACACAGGCTTCAATAAATGCCCCTATTCATATCCAAATCCAAAACTATGTTTTCATCTATATTTAGAATGTAAATGGTGGGTTACCTCAACAATTACACCAATTCTTCATCCCCAGTGCCAATATTCTGTTAATTCCTGGAGCTGATAATTTTGGTGATGGGAACTGTCAATTCAGTCAAATGGAGGTTGCAACTTTGTAAGAATGAAGAAAAATGATGACTAAATTTAAGGGATAATTATGACTTATTAATTATGAATTTTTAATCTACTTTCCAATAAAGCATATTTCAGAAAGCATTATGTATATTAAAGGGGGTGATTTATTTCTTAAAGTCTTCTTAAGAGTTAAATGAGTTAAAATATTCTGAGTTTTAATAAGAATTCCATGAAAATTGTTGTGAAATCTGCTACCATGTTATTTTACAAATACAATAGTGTCTAATTTAGGTCTCTTTGATTTATTGCAAGAGTTGTAAGGTAACAAAGATGCTTAAATTAACAGCTTTGTACTTTTGGTGGTTAAAACTAAAAGATGCATTAAAAACTTAACTGGCCTTCTAATTTAAGATTTATAAAAATAGCATCAGCAAAAAAGCGCAATGTATAATTATACTTTTCCCAACATGTTTACTTCTTTTTCTCATTGTCTTGCTTTTGAAAACAAATCTGGGCACTAAATATTAAAGTATTCAACTGTTATGCTAGCATTTTTAAAACATCCAACATAACAAAAATAATTATTTTAACATCTGTTTCTTTTTCAGTGAAATCCCAAGTTTCCTAGATCATCTGTAAAATATCACAGGCATGGAGGTAATTCAAATTCACTACTGCTCACTTTGAATTTATGTGCTCTTTTACATACCCTACTTTTTAATAGCCATACTTTTAAAATCACATCTTAATTTGAATATTAGGAAATGATACATACTTTTCCTCTTGAAATCTTACCTATCCATTAAAACACATTTCCCAAGGGGCGCCTGGGTGGCTCAGTCAGTTAAGTGTCTGACTCTTGATTTCGGCTCAGGTCATGTTCTCAGGCTTGTGAGATGGAGTCCTGCGTCCAGCTTGCACCACGCATGGAGCCTGCTTAAGATTCTCTCTCTCTAGCTGCCCCTCCTTACCCCTCCTCTCTCTCTCTCCCCCCGTCCTCTCTAAAAAACAAAACAAAACAAAACACATTTCAAGGCCCACTTTCTTCAAGTGTTCTGGTTTTTTCTATCCTACACTGATATTTCCTGTTCTGAATTCCCATCTCATGCTTCCTCTGTCCTACTTGCATGGTCGTACTCTTCACTTTTGCATGGCAGTAAGCCAGCTACACTTTAAGATCCTTGGGGATGAGAACTTTAATCTTCTACATCTCTTCAACAGTGTCAGAAATAGAGCAAGTTTTCCAAAGATATTTGATTATCTCAGTTGGCTTTGAGTAATGAAACTATCTCTTGGAACCTGAGTGATTGGTAAGAACTATGTGATCTTCAAAGTACATATCAGGAAGTCAAATGCAGTAATCAGAGCCACTTAGCTGTATCTCACAGCCAAACCTATACGAACAATTTTTCTAAGAGTATTTATTTGGGAAAGTCATAACTTGGTAAGCCCTGGGGTAGGTAGTGCCTGGTTGTTATCATAACTGAGGCATTGTGGTAGTCGGAAGGCCCTCATGGATCTCTTTATTTCTATTCTTAGCTGTTGCACGGTTGTCAAATACATATCTCAAACTTTTAATCTGAGGTATTTCTCAGTGTGGGAAATGAGAGGTAATTTTAGTATAGTACCTTCTTTGTCAAAGATGATTATAACAACCAAAAAATGTCAATGGGGAAATATTTATGTATAGGCCAAATGTGCCCAAAAGAATCAAAAGAAAATGGAAATTTAGAGCAAAAAATTTGAGGGGAAAGAGATATTTAGCAACTTCTTCATTAGATATTTTTAAAAAATAAATTAAAAAGAAGATCTAGATATAGAAATATGTGGGAATCTACAAATTACCAATAATATTCCTTAATAACTACCCTTCTTAGCTTTAACTGTTAAAACTCTATTAAAAAATCATTTGGAGAAATATTTTTGCTTCACAAAATTTTTCTCTTATATTCAGCTGAACTTATTTGTTTTAATTTTGCAGATACCATTTTGATACATTTATATACAAAGAACAAGGCAATGTTTTATTTCTAAATTTCATACCCAAAAATTCCTTCTGTGGGTTTTGTTTAGTCACTAGTTCCTTTTGAAAAGTAGCGGCAAAGTCATTCATGAGGCAATCTGATAATGGAGTTTAAAATTTCCTTCATCTTAGAATAGCTGTCCTTTTCTTAGGATTATCATCTCCAGCTCTATAGCAAGTAGAGAGCCTTTTCTTTACTCCTTACCAAGTATTTTCAACTGGGATAGCTTGCCCTATTTCTTTTTTGTAAAATCTTGAAAATATTTGTTTTAATGGAATTCCATCATTTTCCCTGATAGCACAGTTCCTGCACTTGACAGATAAACTATTGACTTGAGAAATATTTTGTTTTTCCAGAGAATCTAAACTCATAAAAC